TCACCCCTCTCCAAGTGTCACTGGCATTTCCCACATGGGCGTTGAAGTCCCCCAGGATAATAACGGAGTCCCCGGTCGGTGCACCGTCCAGTACCCCTCCCAAGGACTCCAAGAAGGCCGGGTACTCTGCACTGCCGTTGATCCCGTAGGTCGTCACAACAGTGAGAGACTTGTCCCTCACCCGAAGGCGGAGGGACGCGACCCTCTCATTCACCGGGGAGAACTCCAACACGTGGCGGCTGAGATGGGGGGCAATGAGTATGGCCACCCCCGCTCGCCGCCTCTCCCCGCGAAAAACACCAGAAAAGTGGAGTGTCCAACCCCTCTCAAGGAGTTGGGTTCGAGAGCCCAAACTGTGTGTAGAGGTGAGGCCGACTATCTCTAGTCGGTATCTCTCAACCTCCCCCACGAGCTCCTTCCCCCCCAGTGAGGTGACGTTCCACGTCCCAAGAGCCAGATGTTGCACGTGCGGACTGGGTCGCCGAGGTCTCCGCCTTCGACCACTGCCCAGTCCTCTCTGCACCGCTTCGCCACCACGGACCCCTCTGCGGGTGGTTGGCCCACAGGAGGGAAAACCAAGTCGGTAAAACTCGAAAGCTCCTTACCATGCATGGCGGGTTCCATCCCAAATCCAGCACCCTGAGACTGTACGTAAGCCGTAAAGAAGGAGGCCGAGGACTAGAGAGTGTGAGAGCCACTGTCCAGCACGAAACATCCAAACTCCATAACTACATGGAGAAGGCCAAAACGGATGACGTACTCAGTGAATGTCTCAGGCAGTGGCGAGATAAGGAGGTGCTGGAGGAGAGCCCATCATGGGAGGACAAGCCCCTACACGGGATGTACCACCGGAGCATAGCAGAAGTGGCTGATCTGGATGGCCTACAGGACAGCACAGAGGCATTCATCATGGCTGCTCAGGAGGAGGCCCTGAGCACCAGAGCGATAGAGGCCCAGATATACCACACCAGACAAGACTCATGGTACAGATATACCAAACCAGACAAGACCCATGGTGTCGGTTATGCAAAGAGGCACCTGAGACGATCCAACACATAACTGCAGGGTGCAAGATGCTGGCAGGGAAGGCCTACATGGAACGCCATAACCAAGTGGCTGGCATAGTGTACAGAAACATCTGGAATTACTGTAAGCTCTGTGGATCTGCTACATTGTATATAATTTTGTTATATTTGTTATAAGTAAGAAATTTAATTTTGTTATTTGTTAATAGGGTTAGGCGAAATAAGTGTTAAACTTCAGCTGAACCCTTTCAGTCTGTATATAATTTACAATTTGTGAATGTCAAATGTTTTCTTATTTTCTGCTGATGGTCGAAGAATAAAATAATAATAATCTGTGCAGAGTATGGGCTGGAAACTCTAAGGTCTAAGTGGGAAACTCCTCCAAAGGTGGTGGAGAATGAGCGTGCGAAGATCCTGTGGGACTTCCAGATACAGACCGACCGAATGGTAATGAACCAACCTGACATTGTGGTGGTAGACAAAGGGCAGAAGAAAGCCGTGGTGGTGGACGTGGCAATTCCGAGCCTATGGTAACATCAGGAAAAAAGAACATGAAAAGCTTTAGAAATACCAAGGTCTCAGAGAGGAGCTGAAGAGGGCCTGGAGGGTAAAGGGGACAGTAGTGCCCGTGGTGATCGGTGCACTCGGGGCAGTGACCCCGAAGCTAGAAGAGTGGTTACAGAGGATCCCTGGAACAACCTCTGAAATCTCGGTCCAGAAATGTGCAGTAATAGGAACAGCAAAGACAAGCTTAGAGAGGGATAACCGCCCGCGGAGGGCGAAAGGTGAAAAGTGGTTGTTTTATTGAAAAATATTTCTTTTGGGTGGCCACACTGACAGTAACTTCAATGTCCACTAGGGGGCCACAGAACACGCGGCCCGTAAATGCCCCGCAGGCCGCATGTCTGAGTCCTCTGTTCAAGAGCATTTTAGTTGCATATTCATTCGTCAATGGTAGTTGTCAGGGCCACAACATAAAACCCTTCTCACTGAGGGGCCCCCAAACTGTGCCTTAAATCAACTCTCAGCCCCTCAGCCCCCACTGCTGATGCAAATACAAAGCAGTGATAATTAAGGCCGTCACATTCATTACCACGCTGGTTTATGGATCAGTAGCCAATGGTTGCCGTTGTAACTATAGAACCGAATGGTTGTAGTAGTAACTATAAAACTAATGGTTGTAGGGACTGGCCTCCAGCTGGTGCCAGAGTCAGCACTGAACACGGAGAAGCCGCAATTTAGATTCATGCAGCTAAAATCTGGAACAAACTTCCTGAAAATGTGAGACAGGCTCCTACTCTGACAATGTTTAAATCCAATTCAACTGAGGGATTTAACTTTGTCTTTACTCTTTTTAATGTACGGTGATTATTTATGTGTGACTGTTTCTGTCTTGCCTTGCCTAGTAATAACTAAAGTAACTGATGGTTGTCAAAAATATCAATCCGACAATATTTTTATTTGTTTATTCTGCTCTTTTTTTTTTTTAATTATTTCCATCTGTCAATACCTATTTTCCTTCCTCCATTTCACTATGGGTTTCACTATAGGGGCATAAAAGTGGAAAAATGACTTAAAGAATGTGTGACGTGAGAAGAATATCCCAATAATTATTTGAATAATGAAAATCAGACTAAATCCGAATAAATAAAAACAGTACTAAAACAAAAATCAAAACTTGATAGTAATTTGAGGAAGTATCTATACTAAAGAAAAGTGTGGCTGCATAAACAGTATCATTTTGATGTGAAGATGATTATATTTATTGTAGTATTATTTTTTTGGATCAAAATAGTTGTAAATGTAGAATCATGATGCCCATAGACTGTATGTTGTCTTTAGTCCAGGCCAGCTGAGACATAGTCCCTTCAGCGTGTCTTGGGTCTTCCTCTGGCCTCCAGGTGGGACGTATATACAGTGGCTGTTTACCTATTTTGTTACATTACAGCCTTTAGTTCAATGTTTTTTTAATCTGAATTTCATGTGATGGATCAGAAAACAATAGTCTAAGTTGGTGGAGTGAATTAGAAAAATATATACATAAAATTATTTTTCAGAAATAAAAACTGGAAATTGGTATGTGCATATGTATTCACCCCCCCTAAAGTCAATACTTTGTAGAGCCACCTTTTGCGGCAATCACAGCTCCAAGTCGCTATGGATAAGTCTCTATGAGCTTGCCACATCTTACCACTGGGATGTTTGCCCATTCCTCCTTGCAAAACTGCTCCAGCTCCTTCAAGTTGGATGGTTTGCGCTTGTGAACAGCAATCTTTAAACTAAGCAGGGTAGGGCCTGGGTAGTACTGTGATGGGAGACGGCTGGGAACACCAGGTGCCACTGTGAGGGAGCTGCGGCCACAAAGGGCCAAACTCTTGTGTCAGTCTGGTGTGTGTGTGAATGGTTGGTAGTTTGGTAGTTTATCAGCGCTGTGTATGGAGTGAGTGAATTATGATACGCCTCTTTGAGAGTCCAGTAAAGCGCTGTATAAAGCCTAGCGTACATCGACAGAGAAACTGGGGACAACTAGTTGCAAGGCGGCTTTTGGCAACTGAGAGGAGATGGTGGGAGATGATCAGTTGCCGAAATCGGTCGATGTGCGCGCTCTTACAACTGGAGATGATCAGTCGGTCTCCAGTTCCAGTCAGTTGCCCGTGTTCTACTTTTCGGCAACTAGTTGTCCTCAGTTGCCCCGATGTGCGCGCTCCATGCGCCGCTCCAACAACGTGTGTGTATTGCGTGTATTGCGAGCCCGCAACAGTTTGTTGTCAGAAAACACACTGTAGTTGAGGCCAGTTGCTGTCGATGTACGCGCTGTTATTCAAGAGACTGGCCTGCGACTCAGAGTTGCCCGTTTTCGCCAGATTGTCGATGTGTGCGGGGCAGCAACTCAGAGGCGACGGATATAATCAGTTGCCAGTCCGATGTACGCTAGGCTTAAAGCAGATGCATTTTTCATATTTATTATTATTAGAACCACACAAAAATGGACTTCTCCTGGATTAGTTCAATCTTAGATTGATTTAACAATACATGTTGGTGTTATATTGAACTAACTTCATGACTAAACATGGGGTCAGTCTTCCTGAAAATGTGAGAGAGGCTTCTACTCAGACCATGTTCAAATACAGGTTAAAAACGGCATCAACTCATTCTTTTTAATGTACTGTGATTATTTATAATTGTAATGCCTTGTGTGATTGTTTCTTTTTTTGTTAAGCGCTGTGCAACTGTGCAATACCAATAAACTTGCCTTCTCTTGTATAAACACACAAAAGTTTTTTCCCCTCATAAAAACACAACATCGATTCAAAGTTGAGCATTTTAATACATGATCATAATTCAATGTACAGAGAATGTATGCAACATCATCAGGTGATCTCTATTTTTTACATAAATTAAACCATAAATCAACGTCAAAAGCGTTTAATATTTACCAAGAAACACTAATGTTCTTCATTAGATCTGGTCTCGTTAATAATCACTACAGTTTAATGGATGGAAGGCGCGAAGCAGAAGAAACTGTATACAGACAGCGAACAGTACGAAACACACACAGGAGCCATCGTAAACTCAAGTCAAGGCACAACAGACATGGAAAATAATGATGCTGTTCAAATGCACCCTTTAAATAGATTTCAACTTTTTCCCCATAAATTCAGCCAGTTTTCAGGTATACTTCAGTGGAATGTTGTGCTTTTTAGCTTGTTATACATATGCACTTGTCTGGGACCCATTGGGGGACTCTTGCACATCTATTCCAATGTGGTTTTACTGCAAATGGCAATTAAACTGAATTAGAAAATGGCTCTTCCAATCGCCATGACGCACATAAGAATACGCTCGATTAGGTTTTTTCTTTTGTAAACTTGATTTTTAAAAGAACACATTGAATCGTAACAATGTCCCAAAAGTGAAATGATTGAATGTCGAAGAATTTGAGCATTGTGGGGGGAAGAAGGTCGAACCACGGCTTTAGAAAACGAATCCTTTTCTCGCGTCCTCCGGTGACGAAGCATCATGAACGGGTCGTGAATGCATGTGGTGCTTTAACGTCTCAGTCTCTTTAGAAAAAGTGGAGATCGGAGCTGGAGCCAACGGTTCAGGTCGTCTGAAAGAGAAACAGGAGAAAATGATAAAATATGAGGTAATAAAGGCTTGAATCGAGTGGATTTTATCTTAATTTGAGGACATTCTGACTGTGTCCAAACAGTTTGCCAATGGGACAAAGCCATTTGGTGTTATTTCAAGAACAGTTGCTTTATTTTCTCATTCCAAGAGAGACATTTCTTGTATTCTTTTTAAAACAAGGATATTTTGCTTTGTCCCATTGGCAAATCTTGTTTTAAGGTCAATCAAAATGTGCTCAAATTAAGATACATTTAGCCAAATTTGGGCAATTCTAGATAATTGTCATCACTTTTTGCAGAACAGTAGGTATGAGTAGCACACAGCACAAGATAAATGAACAATGGCTATACTAATTAAAGTAAAATAAATCAGGCTGTTCCAGGACACGATGGGGGTCTCTCTCGGCTGGCCTGGGAACACCTCAGGATTCCCCCGGATGAGCTGGAGGAAGTTAGCCTGGCCTTAGCCAGTTGTGGGTGACGTAAAGAGTTTGCACCGAACGGGAAGGTTGTAGTTTGATAAAGGTGAAGAATGCGATAGTAAAGTATTCCGTTCTGTTTCTATCAAGAAATAGAAGTCGGAGCAAGAGGAATCTTTAGAAAATGTAATCGCTGGCAAAGATTGTGGCGCTACTCCCCACGGGCTCTGTTGGCGGCCAAGGAGATGGCTATGCTAAATGCTAAATGCTAACGACTCACATACGTCACATACGTAAACTCAGATCCAATCGTTTCAATCTGCATAAGGAGTTAACCCCTCCCACCTGTTCACGGAGTCAATGGAGCACCTCCAGACCTTAGTCTGAAATGTGATCTGTACTATGGTGTGGTACGATCAGGCTAGGAGGAGGTGTGTGTGGAGAGGGAAGTGTGGGCATCTGTGCTCAGACTACTGCCCCCGCGACCCGGTAACGGATAAAGCAGAAGAAAGCGTATGACGTGTGGGGTCTGTCACCTGTGCTTAGAAGAGGCCGCAGTCCTTCAGGTTGTTCTTGATGATGACGTCGGTGACGGCGTCGAACACAAACTGCACGTTCTTGGTGTCGGTGGCGCAGGTGAAGTGGGGGTAGATCTCCTTCGTGTCCTTCCTCCGGTTCAGATCCACAAACTTGGTCTGGATGTAGTTCTGAGCGTCTTCATATGTGTTCGGGCCTGCGGAGAGAGGAGGGGGCGGAGTCACACACAGACTGCAACAGGGGCAAAGTTAAAGGCAACAAGGAACTTTTCCTGCTGTTCTCTTGTGGCAGAAACAAATTTCTGTTCCACAAAGATGTGACATCACTACATGTTTTTCAAGACATTCAACCATTTCATTTTATAAATATAGACTTCCAGCCTGAATTGCTAAGGGTTAGAGACATTACCAGAGTACTCAGAAAAGCATAGGGACAGACACATTACCAGTGTACTCAGAGAAGCATAGGGACAGAGACATTACCAGAGTACTCAGAGAAGCATAGGGACAGAGACATTACCAGTGTACTCAGAGAAGCATAGGGACAGAGACATTACCATTGCACTCAGAGAAGCATAGGGACAGGGACATTACCATTGCACTCAGAGAAGCATAGGGACAGAGACATTACCATTGCACTCAGAGAAGCATAGGGACAGGGACATTACCATTGCACTCAGAGAAGCATAGGGACAGATACATTACCATTGTACTCAGAAGCATAGGGACAGAGACATGCTGAAGTGCTGAACAAAACAAGAAAGCATTAAAATCATAAATTATCACAGAACATTAAAAAGAAAGATAAAAATATAAAATCCCTCAGTTGTATGCACAGTTAAACAGAACTGTCTTTAACCTGGTTTTAAACATTGTCAGAGAGGAGGCCTGTCTCACATCTTCAGGAAGAATGTTCCAGATTTTAGCAGCATGAATTTGAAAAGCAGCCTCCCCATGTTTAGTTCTGACTCTGGACACTAACAGGAGTCCAGTCCCTGTGCTCCTCAGAGTCCGGGCTGGTTCATATGGGACTAACATGTCACTAATATAGTTTGGTGCGAGGCCATGGAGAGACTTGTACACAAGCAGAGCTGTTTTAAAGTCTATTCTCTGAGCCACAGGAAGCCAGTGCAGAGACCTGAGAACTGGACTAATGTGGTCGTACTTCCTGGTTCTAGTCAGGACTCGAGCTGCTGCATTTTGAATGTACTGCAGCTGTTTTACAGCCTGTTTGGACAGACCTGTGAGCAGGCCATTGCAGTAGTCTAACCTACTGGAGACAAATGCATGGATAAGAATCTCCAGGTCTGCTTTAGACACTATGTTTTTGATCCTGGCAATGTTTTTTAGATGGTAAAAAGCTGCTGATGTTACTGATTTGATGTGGCTATTAAAATTTAAGTCTGAGTCCAGTATTACCCCTAGATTTCTGACCTTGTTTGAAGGTTTTAGGGAGAGAGACTGTAGGTGACAGATGACGCTCTCTCTTTGTTTCTGGGGACCAAAGACAATCATTTCAGTTTTGTCTGCGTTTAGCTGAAGGAAGTTGTTTTGCATCCACTCACTGATCTGTTGGATACAGTGAAGGAGTGAGTCCACTGGTCCATGTTCTCCTGCAGTCAGTGAGACATAGATCTGAGTGTCGTCTGCATAGTTATGATAGGACACTTCGTTTCCGCGTATTAACTGACCTAACGGCAGCATGTAGAGATTGAACAGAAGAGGTCCCAGGATCGACCCCTGTGGGACTCCACAGGTCAGGGCCATATGATCTGAGACACAGTTTCCAATCTCCACAAAGTACTTCCTGTCTTCAAGGTAAGACCTAAAGCAACTTAGGGCGGTGCCAGCGACGCCAACCCAGTCCTCTAGTCTCTGTAAGAGGATCTCATGGTCGACAGTGTCAAAGGCAGCACTTAGATCTAACAAGATTAAGATTGAGACTTTGCCTGCGTCAGTGTTCAGCCGGATATCGTTTGTAACCTTGACGAGAGCAGTCTCAGTGCTGTGGTGGGGTCTAAAGCCGGACTGAAACATATCAAATGAGTTGTTGATTATAAGAAATCTAGTAAGCTGTAGGTAGACAACTTTTTCAAGGACTTTCCCCATAAATGGCAGATTTGAGATGGGACGATAGTCGTTAAGTACCGTAGCATCCAGACTGCTCTTTTTTAGCAGGGGCCTGATGACTGCAGTTTTCAGGGCCTTTGGGAATATTCCAGAATGAAGGGACATGTTTACTATCTGTGTGAGTGAAGGTAACAGACTCTGTCCCAGGGAAGCACAGGGACAGAGACATTACCAATGTACTCAGGGAAGCAAAGGGACAGATACATTACCATTGTACTCAGGGAAGCAGATGGTCAGAGGGCTGTGCTGGATCTTCTGCTCAAACAAATCCTTTTTATTCAAGAACAGAATGATGGACGTCTCCGTGAACCACTTGTTGTTGCAGATGGAGTCGAACAGCTTCATGCTCTCGTGCATTCGGTTCTGAAAGAAGGAAATCGCACACGACACACACACATCAGTGACGAAAGCAGCAAAAGATACGAATAGATGGAGACAGGGACAGAGGTGCTGTGTAAGGGGAGGGGTATGGTCTTGCTGCTGTCTCCACATGGATTAGGTTTGCCTCCCAGATTATTCTCACTTTTATCCCACTGGGTCCCTTGTTGATGCAGGAGGGTCTAAGGACAGTGATGATCTGGGACATTTATGAACATTTCCTATTTTATCTATCATCTCCGCTGTAGTCTGTTTATTGCTATTCACCCACAGTCCTATTGTCTCAGTTTCATGGGACTCCTGAATCCGGTCTCCTCCATCTTCACTTGTGGACTGTCTTCTCTGTCCTGCATTGTGTGGCCTTGTTCTATAGCCTGAGTCCTGGATCTACAGCCTCAGTCCTGGATCTACAGCCTCAGTCCTGGATCTACAGCCCAGTATCATGTCATATGATCCCTTGTTGGAAGGGAAGTTTTGTAGACTTGCAAGTGCAGAGCAGCCCTATACTACCCAGACCCGGACACATGGGCTGCACCCACATGTGGGGGCCTATTATCAATTGATTTGTTTATTTGGATGGGTCAGTGTGTATTAAAGAAGAGCAGGAAATGTAAATACACCAGAATCTATCTATGCAGCTAATTCAGTCCTGGTTCTAAATCCTCAGTCCTGGATCTACAGGAAATGCTTCCCCCTCTCAAAATGAGCCTTCCCAAGGTTTCCCACTTTTATCCCCACTGTTTTTTTGTTTTTTTTTGCAGATGCAGCAGGATCTAAAGACACTTATGATATTATGGACATCTATAAACATTTATGGACATTGGTCATCCGCCCTTAATGACTCTCTGGCTCTATGTGTTTTTATTGTTGCATTTCCTGTATTTGAACAGTTTGATTCTCTGAAAAGCTGATGGCGAATCTACAAAATTGTAAAGTCCTTCGAGACGACTGCTGTGGTGATTAATGGTAAGATTTCTATTAGGGACAAAGTGCAATAAACGTTAGCAAAAATGAGAGAAAGTGTTCAAGGTCTAGGGCTAAACCAAAATACATTTAACTGAATTGAGTCTGAGGAAATAGAAGGGGTGGTGGGATGTGCCTGGAAGGAGCTAAAAACAACCCCAGGTCTGTCTTTGACAAGGGGATATGACTCAAGCGTGTGTTTATCTCACCATCTCCTCGTCCTCGGCCAGCACCAGGTCGTAGGCGCTCATGGCCACACAGAAGATGATGGCCGTCACTCCTTCAAAACAGTGGATCCACTTCTTCCTCTCAGATCGCTGACCGCCCACGTCAAACATCCTGCACAAACACAAATATGTAGTCACACCGATACCACCTGAAGTTATCTCATATTGAAAGGGAATTTTTGTATGCTTGCAAGTGCAGAACAGCTCTCAACCGTGGCTCAGTCTTAGTCCTGGACAGCCTGTGTCCGGGATCTACAGCCTACGTCTAGGATCTACAGCCTGAGTTCTGGCTGGATCTAAAACCTCTTTTATTTCAGAGCTCTGACAGGGTCTGACTTTCACATACAGGAGGCGCCACTTCTAATTCCTACATCCAAATAAAAGCAGTGACTTGTGCTGGAGGCTTTGAAAAGTGTAAATGTTTTGACAGAGCAGTCAGATAAAAGAGCACTGTGAAATGTATCACAGATAAGAATCACAGACAGAAGTTTTTAGAATCACAGAGAGGAAACATTTGGGATTTCTCAAAACCAAGACGAAGCAGATCGTCACAGCAACTTTAGATCACACTTTCTTCCCTCTTTCTTTGTACAAAAAGGAAATAATGTCATTAATAACACTGTTAACTCCCCAACACTGAACTTGGACTCCAGAGGGAATTTGAAACAGGGCTAGAGACCAGTCTACATCAGGGTTAGAGACGAGACCAGTCTACATCAGGGTTAGAGACCGGTCTACATCAGGGTTAGAGACCGGTCTACATCAGGGTTAGAGACCAGTCTACATCAGGGCTAGAGACCGGTCTACATCAGGGCTAGAGACCGGTCTACATCAGGGCTAGAGACCGGTCTACATCAGGGTTAGAGACCAGTCTACATCAGGGTTAGAGACCAGTCTACATCAGGGCTAGAGACCAGTCTACATCAGGGATAGAGACCAGTCTACATCAGGGTTAGAGACCAGTCTACATCAGGGACTAGAGACCAGTCTACATCAGGGTTAGAGACCGGTCTACATCAGGGATAGAGACCGGTCTACATCAGGGCTA